AGTGTTATCACTTATCACTAATATTTTTAAACCTAAACAAATGATTGATTCTAAGAGGTGTTATAATTCACTTATCACTAGAATTTAAATCATGTTTCGAAATTCAGTGTTACTAGATATATTATTTGTGATTCATATTTAAAATCCTTATATTATAATTCAGTTTTATTCTATACTAAGTGGTTTTCGTAGTTTTTGTAAATATAATTTATTTGAAACTAATCCAAATAAAACTTCCATGAGTTATGTATTAAAAACAAAACCAGAGCTATATTGCAAATTGTTAGAACTCACACATACGTTTTTAAAATATCAGTAGAATTTTAAATAACATACTTAATCTATGGTTGAATAACATAAGTGTATACTTTTTTTTTGTGCACAAACATAAGTGTATACATCATATGATTTTAGTAACTAAAGAATATTGTTGGGCCTTTATATTTTCTTTATAATGACCATAGACCCACAAGCCTAAGTGTGTTTGCTCTATCCATTTGGTTTGGGCCTGTAAATTACTTGATTATATCTTTGATCACTGTTCTAAAATGTGAACAGAAACACTTGATCAAAGTTGAAGTCGTCTAATAGAAGAAGTAAAGTTTAAAAGTTTCTAGATGCCGGTCTAGTATTCACCCATACAATACAATTTCTTACAGATTATACATAATAAGAGATCCAAATTTCAATCTCTAGAGAAAAAACAATGCTGAAGAAACTCCATGACCGGTCCATGTCAATCGGAGGCCCTAATCATGATTAAACAAAATTACACCTTTAGTTAATATTTATGAGTTATAACCATAATACCAACTATTTATATATAATTATACTCACAAAATTCTTTCATCGAAAAATAAATAAGAAAAATAGAGCATGATTTATTAAAAAAAAAAAAAATTCAATAGAAGATAAACGTGTAAAATTACACCAAAAGAATTAATGTGTAAACAAATATTTGTATTATCCTTTCACAATATAATCAATAAACTAGATTTTGACCCGCGCTTAAAAGCGCGGAAATTTTTTATGATTAAAAATTTAGATAATTGGGGTTTTGTCTTAATTTAAAGAATGTTTTGCTATAAAATCAGTTCACCAAAATTTGTGGTGATGATTGTTTTACATTAGTTTTTAGTTTCAGTTTTTATTTTTATATTTTGTTTTAGATTTTGGTTTTTTGGGTTTTAATTTTCAAGTTTCTATTTTTGATTTCAGCTTTTGGTTTGAGTTTTTAATTTTTAGATCCGCTGAGTTAGTTTGAACTGATATTACCCAAATTTTTTATGATTAAAAATTTATATAATTGGGGTTTTGTCTTAATTTAAAGAATGTTTTGGTATAAAATCAGTTCACCAAAATTTGTGGTGATTATTGTTTTTCATTAGTTTTTAGTTTCAAATTTTTATTTTTAGATTTTGTTTTAGATTTTGATTTTTTTGGGTTTTAATTTTTAAGTTTCTATTTTTGATTTCAGCTTTTGGTTTGAGTTTTTAATTTTTAGATCCGCTGAGTTAGTTTGAACTGATATTACCAACAAACGAATCTCAATTAATCGAACATGTAATTTAAAACTGAAAAGATGACAAAATAATTTTCTAAATTTTTTGAAATAGTTTATTTTGTAATAAAAAAAGAAAAAAATATAATTCAAGCGCATAAATTTTTTATGATTTAAAACTTATGTAATTAGGTTTTATCTTAATTTAAAGAATGTTTTGGGATAAAATCAGTTCACCAAAATTTGTGGTGATAGTTGTTTTTCATTAAATTTTAGATTCAGATTTTATTTTTAGATTTTGTTTTAAATTTTGGTTTTTGGTTTTTTAGTTTTTAAGTTTCTATTTTTGATTTTCAGCTTTTGGTTTGGGTTTTTAATTTTTAGACCTGCTAAGTTAGTTTGAACTAATATTACCAACAAACAAATCTCAATTAATCGAACATGTAATTTAAAACTGAAAAGATGACAAAATAATTTTCTAAAATTTTTTAAATAGTTTATTTTGTTGAAAATATTAAATATTTTTGGGCCTGAAAATAGTAATTGATTTTTAATCCATTTAGGTGGAGTTTTTCTTTAATACTAAGCCCAAAAACCAAACAATTAAATGTCATAAAAACAAAAGTAAGCCCAAAACTCTATTACATAAATAACCGCCGGTTTAATTTAAGTAATGCGGTTCAATCAATTATATAACGTGTATTATTTGTAACACTCTAAAAAGAGTCCAAATTTAAATGACAACATGTATCAGTAGATAAAAGAATGACTCTATTTTAATAGAATAGATATGTTGTTAAAAAAAAGAAACAAGAATTTCATATTGGACTTACAAGCCCAAACAATTTAGAATTTAATTCAAACTAGATTTTGACCCGCGCTTGAAAACGCGGAAATTTTTTATGATTAAAATTTTATATAATTGGGTTTTGTCTTAATTTAAAGAATATTTTGATATAAAATCAGTTCACCAAAATTTGTGGTGATGATTTTTTTTCATTAGTTTTTAGTTTCAGTTTTTATTTTTAGATTTTATTTTTTGGTTTTTGGTTTTTGGTTTTTAGTTTTTAAGTTTCTACTTTTCATTTTCAGTTTTTGGTTTGGGTTTTCAATTTTTAAACCGCTGAGTTACTTTGAACTAATATTACCAACAAACAAATCTCAAATAATCAAACATCTAATTTAAAACTGAAAAGATGATAACAAATTTTTTTAAAAAAAAATTGAAATAGTTTATTTTGTAAATAAACAAAGCAAAAAAATATAACATGTGTTTTCAGATTTTGGTTTTGGATTTTAGTTTTTAGATTTGGTTTTTGGTTTTGCTTTACATTTTTTTAATCAGTAAATTATTTAAGAAAAATAAAACAATAAATTATTTAAAAGTTACCCTTGAAATTTATCAAAACAAAGTGATTGTTTTTTAAAATAAAAAAATATATTAACATGTTTTAAAGTAAATGATTTAAATAAATGATTAATAATAGATAATTTTGTTTTGTTAAAAATATTAAATACCTTTTGGGTCTGAAAATAATAATTGATTTTTTGATCTTTTAAGGTGAAAAGTTTATTCAATGTTTTTGGAGTTTTTTCTTAATACTAAGCCAAAAAACCAAACTATATAATTTGTTCAAAAAATAAAAATAAATCCAAGACTATATTCCATAAATAACCACTGGTTTAATTTAAGTATAATTAGTAGATTTCTATATTCCATATTTTGATGATATATGTTCTTCTAGAATATTCCATATTTGTAGGAGAAAATATTTGTTTTTGATATACACACAGATACCTGCCGTATTTTGAAGGTAGTTTACATTAAGGTCGTCTCTTTACCTTAATTGTGTTGGTTTAATTTAAGTAATACGGTTCAATCAATTATATGATTTATATTATTTGTAACATTCTAGAAAGAGTCCAAATTTAAATGACAACTTGTATCAGTAGATAAAAAAAACAACTCTATTTTAATATAGTAGAAGTGTAGTTTAGCCCAAATATTGTTTAAATTTAACTTAAGGAAAAACTAAAAGTTAAGCCCAGAAATTGTTGGGCCCTAGGCGATTACTTACTTTGCTTCCCCTACGGGCCGGGCCTGAGAAACTCGTATATAATTTTTAAGATGGTGCAAATAAATCCGGTCAGACATATATTTTTAAAGAGGACGATTCTGGTGATGAAGTGTGTAAACATTATAAAGAAAATAAAATTATCGGTTACTAAATCATTTATGTTTCTTATAATTTTTATAATTGTATTATCCTAATAAATCAACTTCGAAGTCATCCAATAGAAAAAGTCAGCTATGGACAATTAAAAAGTCAGACCAAAATTTCCTATCACACAAGAGACAACTTCTCCAAATGGTTCGACCCTCGTGTTAAGAATTGAATATGCGGCTCGATCGCGTCCACACACATTGACATCATGAGTTTTCTTGCAAATCATCTTACTATATTTAAGCATAACTGTAACGTCCCGACCGTCCACGACTAATGGACCACCCACGCTCGCTCTCTCGGCCCGTGAGCCCCATCCTGTTCCAACGGTCGGTCTGTTAATTTTCCAAGGCTCAAAAGTCATGTTTACTAACCTGCAATCACCACCCGACATTTCCCCGTGCTTTGGCCTCACTTACACGGTATCGCAAATCACTTCCCGATAGGTCACCCATCCTTTGACTACTCCAGCTCAAGCACGCTTAACTCTGGAGTTCTCTCTGGATGTGCTCCCAAAAAGGTAAGTGCACTTTGGTGACATAGGTAGCCAAATCAATTCTCTTAACCCTTTCCATATATCACAACTTGGGATGTTACAATTCACCCCCTCTCAAAGAACGCAACATCCTCGTTGCGCCCCACGACAGGTCTCAAGACGCCTCTCAGGTCAGAACTGAGATGACTAACCAGCTCTGATACCATTTGTAACGTCCCGACCGCCCACGACTAATGGGCCACCCACGCCCGCTCTCTCGGCCCGTGAGCCCCATCCCGTTCCAACGGCCGGTCCGTTAATTTTCCAAGGCTCAAGAGTCATGTTTACTAACCCTGCAATCACCACCCGACCTTTCCCCGTGCTTTGGCCTCACTTACACGGTATCGCAAATCACTTCCCGATAGGTCACCCATCCTTTGACTACTCCAGCTCAAGCACGCTTAACTCTGGAGTTCTCTCTGGATGTGCTCCCGAAAAGGTAAGTGCACTTTGGTGACATAGGTAGCCAAATCNATCACCACCCGACCTTTCCCCGTGCTTTGGCCTCACTTACACGGTATCGCAAATCACTTCCCGATAGGTCACCCATCCTTTGACTACTCCAGCTCAAGCACGCTTAACTCTGGAGTTCTCTCTGGATGTGCTCCCGAAAAGGTAAGTGCACTTTGGTGACATAGGTAGCCAAATCAATTCTCTTAAGCCTTTCCATATATCACAACTCGGGATGTTACACTAACACCATTATTTTCTTCCTCCACTCCGCCAAAACAAAATCAAAATGTTGACTCACGCTATTTCTAAATCCATCTCTATAGTAACCATTCTATTAGTTATACAAGCTTTCTATACCACAACAAAGGCTCAAAACTGTGGTTGTTCGCCAGACCTATGTTGTAGCCAGTTTGGATTCTGTGGTAACACTTCAGACTATTGTGGTGTAGGTTGTCAACAAGGGCCTTGTTTTGCTCCTCCTCATGCAAATGATGTGTCCGTGGCTGAGATTGTTACGCAATATTTCTTCAGTGGAATCATCGGTCAAGCAGAGTTTAGTTGCGCAGGAAATGGATTCTACAGCCGAGGGGCTTTTCTTGAGGCCTTAGAGTCATATTCTCGTTTTGGTAGGATTGGATCGGTCGATGATTCTAGGCGAGAGATCGCTTCATTCTTTGCTCATGTCACGCATGAAACTGGACGTAAGCATAATATAACTCAACGCTTCAATTTATATATGTATTTATATACTAGTGTTTTGCCCATGTGGATTTAATTATCTTTAAATCAATTTAAAAAATCATCAAAAAATAAATGATTATTTTCATCCAAAAAGTTCAACCTAAAACATTACACTCTTTTACATGATAAAGTTATTCACAAATTAAAAAAAAAACTATTTTTTTCTTTAAAACTTTGAAAAGAATCTAAAGTCTATTTCATTTCTTCTTAATTGATAAAAAATAGAAACCTAATTTCCAATTTGATAAATTGAATGGATAAATATACATTCAAACATTGATCTTAGAGAAAGAATAATATTAGTTTTGATAATAATACAATATATATGAATTTATTTTGTCAAACATGTATTTTCTTTCTTTTTCAATGATCTTTTATTTAATTATGATTAATTCATGTTTAATGTTTAACAATATAAAAATAAATTAATTTAACGTGTGAGTTCAAAATCAAAAACTACATTCAAAGTATAATCATTATATTATATTATTATATTCTTTTATTATGAAAATAATTGTGTATTATAAATTTTTCAATTTTATATTTTTAATTAAAGACAATTAAAAATTTACTTTATGAATATTTATTTATGTATTTTCTGTTTTTTTTGTTTTTTTATTAAAATATATTTTTTGGATAACAACACAATATATTTAGAAATTATCTTTTTATTTTTAAATATATATTTAGATTATGGATAATTCTTATCATTATTATTAAGTTAAATCATTTATCTATTCAAATAAATATCAAAATTCGTTTTTATTTTTGGTTGATTTATATATTTTATTGATTAAAGGTATAAACGATATTAACCACTTTAACTTTTAACATGAGAGCTCGATTGCGAAAAATCACTTCGCAAATAATAATATAGATTTTAATAAGTAGACATGAGCATATTCAGGTCCGTCTCTAGGGATGTGCCTAAGGTGCATTTACATTGGGCCTAAAATTTTTTTGACAGTTTTAAGTACAATTTAAAGCCCGTTTTTTTAGATTTAGAACCCTTTTCAAATGGTTTTATATGTATTCATGCACTGTACCTTCTGATTTGTTGAGACGGGACTTAGCATATTATTCGAAATACACAAACAGGACAAAACCAAAACCAGACCAATATTCACTAAAACCCAAATGATTCCTAATAGTAACTATATATCTAAAAATGAAATTTATAAACAAAAATATACCAAAACATTCTGCATTTTATTGGTTTTTGGGTCTAAATCCGAATTAAATCTGAATTATAGGTACAAAACCGGTCCTAGGAATTTATAGATCAAAAACAAGAAAATTAGACCTATTAGTATTAAGTATTAACTATAAATAAAAAATAATGTAAAATGTAGAGGAAGGGTGGCGAACTCATCACCTTTAAAAGCCAATTGTAATGCCATAACCAATTGCATAAGGCGAAAGTATACTTATAATTTGTTGGCCGGAAGCAATGGCTTGTTCCACTTCCACTCAAAGCCGCCTCTGTATATGTAATTCCGTTCTGTTTTAAAGTTTAGATCAAAGCTTTGTTGGATAATTCCAATTAAGTTAAGGAGAAAGTTAACTTATTAAAGAAGCCGACAGGTGTGAATCCGATTGGTTTGAAGTGAGTCTACAAGATCAAGAGGAATGCAGATGGAACAGTGACTAAATGCAAAGTAAGGATAGTCGCAAAAGGTTATGTGCAACAACAAGGCATAGACTTCGAAGAAGTATTTGCACCAGTGGCCCGAATAGAAACCATACGTCTACTTCTAGCTTTGGCAGCAAGTAATGGATGGGAGATCCATCACTTAGATGTGAAAACTGCGTTCCTAAATGGAGATTTAAAAGAGGATGTATACGTGACTCAAGGCTTTGTGGAGAAAGGGAAGGAGCATCACGTGTACAAATTCAACAAAGCATTATATGGTTTACGACAAGCTCCGAGAGCTTGGAACATCAAGCTTGATCATGTCCTCAAGGAGATGGAGTTCACGAAGTGCACCAAGGAACCTGCAATATCTCAAAATATAGAGAAGAGGGAGCTTCTCATCATAGCTATCTACGTCAATGGTTTGTTTGTAACGGGGACTTCGTTCAAAGTTATCAAACAATTCAAGGACGATATGTCAAGAAGATTTGAGATGTCAGACCTCGGGAAGCTTACGTACTATCTTGGTATAGAAGTAACGCAAGGAGCTGATGGCATTCGAATCAAGCAAGGACGAAATGCGAAGGTTCATCGGAGTTCAAGAGATCAACAAGCCCAAGATTCAAGTTGGAACTAAGGGGGAGAATGTTGGATAATTCCAATTAACTTAAGGAGAAAGTTAACTTATTAAGAGAAGTTTAGTAAGTTACGGAAAAAGGAAAACATATCGAGATTAGGAATGTTTCCATATTTTTATTAGGTTTAGATGTAGCTTCGACCTATAGAAGGAGAGATGTTGCATCCCTTAAGAGATCTAAGAGAAGAGAGATCTAAGAGAAAAGAGATCTACGAGAGTAAATTAAGAGAAACACATTGATTTAGTTTTGAGAGAGTTTCTAAATCTAATAAGAAGTGTTAGTTCTTATATTCTTGTGTTTGTGCAACTTTAATTGGTATCAGAGCTTGAGTTAAAGCTTTGATCTAAATTTTAATTGGTATCAAAGCTTGAGTTGAAGCTTTGATTTAAACTTTAAGCTTCAACTCAAGCTCTGATACCAATTAAAGTTGCACAAACACACAAGAATATAAAAACTAACACTTCTTATTAGATTTAGAAACTCTTTAAAAACTAAATCAATGTGTTTCTCTTGATCTACTCTCCTAGATCTCTTTTCTTAGATCTCTCTTCTCTTAGATCTCTTTTGGGATGCAACATCTCTGCAACTCCTTATATAGGCGAAACTACATCTTAACCTAATAATAATATGGAAACATTCATAAGCTCGATCTGTTTTCCTTTTTCCTTAACTTACTAAACTCCCCTTTACTAAGTTAATTTTCTCCTTAAGTTAATTGGAATTATCCAACATGTTTCAGGTTTCATGAAAAATGAAAAAAACTGACCCGAACCGATCCGGACAGGTTCAAAACACTCTAAACCAGATAACCGAATGGTAAACCAGAATGCTATGCACTCCATACATGAATGTTCTCTACAATAATCAAAACATCACACATTAGTTTCTGTCATTTTGACTAGTTTTGAACCCTTTTTTTTTGGTATATCATTCATCAAGTCTGTTTTAGCGATCAACAACTAAAACTATTGTATTACCAGCTTAAACATATACTTTGTGGGTTGTTTCAGATTTCTGCTACATAGAAGAAATAGACGGACCCTCAAAGGACTACTGCAACGAAAACGCAACGCAATATCCATGCAATCCAACCAAAGGCTACTTCGGCCGTGGACCGATCCAGCTCTCATGGAACTTCAACTACGGACCAGCAGGAACCTCTATTGGTTTTGACGGCCTCAATGCACCAGAAACAGTAGCCAACGATCCAGTCATCTCCTTCAAAACCGCCTTATGGTACTGGACCAACAGAGTCCAACCCGCTCTTCCACAAGGCTTTGGTGCAACAATCCGCGCCATCAACGGCGCTTTGGAGTGTGATGGAGCCAACAGAGCCACCGTTGAAGCTAGGGTTCGTTACTATACTGATTATTGTCGTCAGTTAGGTGTTGACCCTGGTAACAACCTTACATGCTAACACAATAACTTTTTTTTTTTTTTTTTTTTTTGAACACCTAAAAGAGAGCCTGTCAGACAACCGTGCGACCACCCTAGCGAGGTCAAGNTGCTAACACAATAACTTTTTTTTTTTTTTTTTTTTTTGAACACCTAAAAGAGAGCCTGTCAGACAACCGTGCGACCACCCTAGCGAGGTCAAGCCAAGACTAGGTAGCGATCCTCTACAGCGCAGAGAGTCCGAAGACTATCGTAGCCGTTAATCCCACTCAGATCGCACGGCCATGAATCATCAACCAGGTTATGAGGCACTGTCTCCTTAGAAATCAAGGATGCAGAGGTACTTCCCTATAGAACAGATCCTGTTCAAGTAAGGTCGTGCTAACACAATAACTATCTTCTAGTAATAATAATAATAAAGAGTCACAAACTCACTACAATGTGTAACGTTTGAAACAGAGTAAACTCTCTAGTAACATTAGATCCTTATGAACATGTTTCTTCATTACAACTTTTTAGAAAGACATGGAAATGATTTGTTGTGATCAATGCCATGGTAATGAAGAAAGCCTTTGAAGACATGACCATGTATGGTTACTGTCGCTTGATAACCGATTTCTGATTGTTCCTCGTTGCTTATCGCTGTTACTCTCGTCCGTTTAAAAACCGCCGGAGCTTCGATCTTTCCCGGTAACCCTTGTTTGAAACTCGTCTCTACAAAACATAAGTCTTGAGCTTTTTTCTCATCAACAGATCAGAAAAAAGTTTCTTTTTTATTTATTTATTTAAATTTTATTACCTTGACGGCGAGAAGTGATTGTCGGAACGATATAGACAGTGGGTTTGTCGGAAGTTTTGAGCTTTTTCTTTCTGTCGGAAGATGAAGAAGAAGAGTGATGATAGGAAGAAGAAGGAACCCACGTGCTTCTCACGTGAGTAGCACATTGGTATCCTCTGCTTTTGCAGCAAGTCCTACACCTTTCGAATAAACACTCTTTCTTTGCTCTGTTTCCACAGTCTCTGCACACTTTCTCTTCAACATTACTGTTCCTCGTCTTGTTGTTGTTGTTATCATCTTCCACCGCCGTGAAAATCACCGGTGAGGGGTGTGTAATCTGCGACGGTGGTGGTGGGATGATGATGTTTCGGAGGCCTAGCATGTAGTCCGATGTGCTGATTCCAACGGCAGCAGAGGAAGAGGAGTGGTCAGGGATGGTGGATGGTGATGGTTGATGCGGTGGCCATGAGAGGAGAGAAGGTGGATTTGCCACTGTGGCAGTAATTATAAGCGCGTGGAGGCGCTTTATAGATGAAATAGGGAGCTTTTAGCTATGGAGTCTAGTGAGAGAGAGCATTTAGAAGCAACAAGATGAGTGAAAAAGAAAGGGATCTTTTTTTTTCTTTTGGGTTTTAAACAGAGTTTTGTGGTCACATGTTGGTTAAAAGAGTTTCTGCACGAAAAATGAAATTATTATCTATTTCTAAGTGGGTGGAGGGGACCCTTTCATTGGGAAAGCACCCGTTTTAAAGTGGCTTTCCCCCCACCACATTAATACCCCACCTTCTGTGTCCTTTGTCAACACTAAGTCGGATCCAATGGCTTAGTACCTCTGTTTCGTATGGATAAGTTGGGAACATTAACGTTGGAAACTTATTGTTTGAGAACAAATATCACAGAGACATTATGTTTCACTTGCGGAAGCAGACAGACTAGTTGCATAGCATTCAACTCAATATGCAAGAAGTGGTTCTAGCAGGGAAGTTGATCCTTGTATAATTCCAAGACCGAAGTTGCTGCAGTAATGGGACACAACCTGATAGAGAATGAGTATGGTTCTGGTGGAATCAGATACTTATCGTGAACACAAGGGGTCCAGCTATCATCTCCCCCTATCCCCATATGTTTATGGTCCAGATGCACCTGTACAACAAAACACCAAACAAAAACAAACAATCAAGGCTAATTGGTTCTCAAGTACTTCTTGAATGAGGACAAGGGAAGATTACTACCTCAATGCTTTTTCCTTTGGCAAGATCCTCTTCATGCGTTGCACGATCAAGCTCGCCGGTTGTGTAGTAACTGGCATTCATCTGCAATGGAGAAGAGCTACCATATGTTGAAGCATATATTCCTACACCCTCCTTGTTTGTGAATGTCACCCACCGAACATCTGTTCTACCCCCACATTCTCCTGGAACAATATAAGGAACATGCATGTCTGCAACGTTCTGTTCATATCTCCCCACATGGGCTGCTGATTTTCGGTCCGGGTAACACTCAAATGGACCTCTTCCATACCATTCAACACGGTCCAGTGTTTTCTCGATGTGAAACTCTATCCCAACCCGTGGTAGAGGTGGAAGATCAGAGTTTGGGACTACATACCAATTGGTGATGATATCTCCAGAACCATAGATCATATATGTCACATTGACTTTGAACAAAGCATCTGATTTCGAAGAACCAAGATAAATGAACTCTATCTCCACGGATTTATCAGTTGTGCTCTTTACTGAACAGCTTTCAACAATGAACTCAACATTGTCCAGTTTTGCTGCTTTCCACCTCGAGAAATAGCTGGAGTCACCTCCACCTTTATCATTGTCTGTTGGTGCTCGCCAGAAACATGGCAGTATAGCTTCATTCATAAGGAGAACTCCTTGCACCTGTCATTTTATAAAATATCTTCAGAACTAAAACATCTATAAAAACACCAACCAAAGCGAAAAATCTAAAATAGAAAAGAACTTACCTTCCAGCCTTCAATGGCTCCTTTTTGGACATTTATCATTAGCTCCCATGAACCTTGCTGACTGATCTTGATGAAATCTCCAACAGTTTCACAAGTGATGATAGAGTCTGTCTCTTTTATCGCCTACAAGAGAATGTCACTACTTAATATTTTCTAGCTGAATGAAGAAATATGAAAGGGAATTACCTGTGGTATTATCTCTCTCTTTGACGGTAAAGGAATCTGAGTTGAAGACAAGAGATGACCAGCTTCAAGTGAACGGGTAGGATTTGATAGCTTGGCAGTTATTGTCAGAAACAATTCTCCAGCATTTGAGTCATTCCAGAAAGAAAACCATGGACCTGACTTCAACTCCATGTCAAAGCTATTCTGTGGCTTTATCACAGGAACAGAGAAAGCCCCGGATCCAAGTTCAACACCATCCCCATGAATTGTCCAGCCAAATTCCAACTCTTCTGTTGTATTGAAAAAGTAAGCGTTTGCTACCTGCAAAGATCAAGTCTGAGCTGCATAGATAGAATTAACACTAAAGCTTAGTCAGGTGAAGTGTATTAAGTTGTACCCTTAACGTGCCATCCTTCAATGAAACCTTGATTGGTTGATAACAATGCTTGACCTCTTAAGCAACAACACAAGGACATGATGCGATGCAAACAGAAGAAAGTCAATATCATATGGCAAATGTAACAGGGTCGAGTATTTGGTAAATGGAAACAGATGGGATACGCTTTAGATTTATGTTCCTTTATTGAACGATAATTAATATTTCTTGATTTTAGAAAATATTTAGGAATTCACTTTCTTAACTTTTTCCTTAGTGCTTTGCGCTAACGAGAGATCTCGTTTGTAAGACTCATTCACGCTAGAGAGAGCATTGGATGAATGCCTAAAGACATGACTAATACTCTAACGAAGGGATGGTTGGAGACTTTAGAGAAAGATCAACAAACTATGGGTGAAAAGTTGGATGGTATTCAAGTTGGTTTGAAGAGTGTTTTGGATCAAATTCTGAGGCTAACAAAAATGGTTGCTGCAGTTCAAGTAAGCATGATATCTGAAGTATCTCGAGAAACGTCTACAGATTTTATCGTGATCCCTATAAGGAAAAACCACTGTCTCATAAAGAAGGTTGACGAATTTAAGGATCAAGCAACAGAGGTTCCCGACATAGATACAGAAGGAGAAGTTGTCATATTCAAGCTCCAACCTCAAGTTTCTGTGGAACAACAGCACAAACTTGTTCGTGGAAACCAAAAAGTTTTGACTGATATTCCACCTCATTTGGATCTTGATGAGGATGATGATGAGGATGATTTCATTGTTTTGGAAGGGCGTGCTTTGGAATGAACTCCTTGGTTTATTTGGTCACCTTCTGAGTACAGCCTTGAGGACAAGGCTGTTTTTCAAGCGGTGGTTTAGTTTTAAGCTCCTTAGGATTTCTATATCTTATTAGTTTCTTTTACTAAGTGTTTTGGTTTTGCGTTTTAGTATAACTGTATAAGTAAGGATGGATCTCGGTTGTGAGACACATACAAGCTTAGAGAGAGCTCTGGAGGGATATTGGCAAAGCTTTGTTATAGGTTTTGCCAGAGGAAATGTTTCTAACAATTTAGGCTTTCTAGTTCATTTGTTTGAGTTTCATCAGTTTCCAACCAAGGGAAGCCTTTGTTTTTTATTTTGTGATTCCTAACTCTATCAAGATATTACCATGGAGTGCTGGATGAGGCGTTCGGTCAGGCCACATCAGCCCATTCAGACAGAAGTTCAGATCGTTAGGCTGGTCACCAAAGTCACCTCCATAAGCCCAACGCTTAACGCCATCTGACCCCAGCTTTAATAAACCCTAAATGACAAAAGACTATTGGTTAAACACAAAATAACAAAGAAAGTGTATTTTTCTATATTTTTGCAATGCTTTGGCTAACCATATATTCTACTGCAGTGGCCTAGTACCTATATAATCTTAATCTTTATGTTACATAAATACCAACTTTGAGATTATAAAGAGAAGAGATAACAGGTTTCATAACGTATCATCTTAATACTGAGACAAGATATCAACCTGGTCAACCCAGTCCCATATGAAGCCTCCTTGCAGACCAAAGGTATTGTCAATTGCCTCCCAGTACTTGTCTATATTCCCATTGCTGTTGCCCATAGCATGTGAATACCTGCATTAACATGAAATCAAAACAATGATGATATACACTGTCACCATATAACGCTAATGCATTTCAGGAGAAATGAAGGGAAGTCTGAAGAAACTGATATTACATACTCGCATAATATCAACGGACGTGATTCATTTTTGTCAAGTGCAATCTTGACAATGTCCCAAATCCGCATGTACATAGGGCAGACTATATCAGTAGAATTAGTTCTGGAACCACCACCTTCATAGTGTACCAACCGTGAGGGATCCTTTTCCCTAATCCAACCTGTTCCAAGAGAAAACACACAGAGGCTCTATTAGGAAGGAAGATATAGGTAGTGTTCGTTCAAATAGCACAATATAGAATTTGACTGCTTACCTGCCATGGCAGAATGATTAGGCCCATAGCCTGCTTCATTTCCCAATGACCAAGAAATTATGCACGCATGGTTTTTGTCTCTCTCAACCATCCCAACTACTCGATCCAACATAGCGGCTGCCCAGCTTGGCTCTTTTGCAGGGTGCTTCAGATGGCCAGAAAGATCAAAACCATGTGTCTCTATATTGGCTTCATCGATCATGTACATGCCGAACAAATCACATAGTTCATACCAGCGGGGATGTTGAGGATAATGACTGTTTCGCACCGCATTGATATTATATTCCTTCATCATGATTAAATCCTGAGAACAGTTTCAGGTATAAATCACATGTGTACTAAAAATAACCATGAAAGGGAGAAAGCAAAGCTTGAAAGAGAAGAAAAACCATGTTACCTTGACCATGCAGGACTCTATATTCGTCTTCCCAACACGTGGGTGGTGCTCATGCCTGTTTACACCTTTTATCATGACTGGGTGCCCATTAACAAGAAGCTGTTTGAAGGCCTTTGATACTTGGCGAACGCCAACAATGCTTGACTCAGAATCAAGAAGTTTCCCAGATTTATCTTTCAGAGTTACAACGAGGATGTAAACATTTGGCTGTGCACAAACAAAAATCAAACAGGAACATCTGAGTTAGTAAATACGGTTCCAGTACATAAACTATGTGACTTACATTAGAACCCAATACTTTACAGATACATCTCGTTTCAAATTTCCATTACATTTTTGAAATATCACTTCAAGTTGCACATATCATAAAAAAAATTCTAGAAAAAAGATATGGCATGACAACCCTGCAAGTATTAAGCAAAGAGCCTAACACTGGAATTTGATTACTAAAGGAAAATGCCCAGGCCAATCAATTGAACTCGGTTCTAATCCATATCTTCCTTAAGAGCACATCAGAAATACAGCACTAACCTGATACATTTCATTAAGGTTTCTCATTTTACTGTCAATAACTAACGCTGTAATTTTTAGTACTTTACTGCATGGAAGCAAAGTTAAAAACTTAGGTTGCTGAACCAGAAAGCAAATAGCCATAGCAATGAGCTGCTTACTTGTTCTGCTGACCAGAGATTTGGAGAATCCAGCTTTCCCTCAAGAAGATAACCATGAAATCCAAGAACTGGGTTTGGAGAAAGATTAAGCTTCAAATTAGCCACCTTAGGAGAAAGGTCATCACTAAATCCTCCAGATTTGTACCATCTTGTAGTATCAAATACGGCAGCCTCTATGACGAAGTTAGAAAGAAGAAGATCCTTTGAGGACTCCAGCATATTATCTATCTTTACTTCAACCTGGAAGTTTATAAACAATGAAATAGTAGAAAGTTGATTACTTAATTAACATCAAAAGAAAATCCTCCCAAAATACACAGCAGGCAAAGATATAAGCGAAAAAAACATTTCTAGGCGGATTTGCAGCACATGGAGTGGGTTGCACCATAAGAAGCAACTTCTAGGATTGGCTACCTGGATGTCTGCATATGAAAAGTCATCTGCCAATTTGGACTTGAAAAAGTAGTCAGCAATGAAGACCTGCATAAATAGAAGTTAACTGATTATGCATCAATGCTCGTATATGGTGGAGACAATGAATAAAATTTACATAAAGTCTGGTTAAGAAGACAAGGGTAAAAAAAACCTTGGGCTTTGCTAGCAAAAGCACATCTCGGTGAAGGCCAGACAACCACCAATGATCTTGGTCTTCAAGGTATGAACCATCACTCCATCTAAAGACTTGGACAGCAAGAACATTTTGCTTCCCTGAGTCCCATGGATAGCAATAGTCGGATATTTCAAATTCAGCTGGTAATCTGCTGTCTTGACTGGTTTTAGAGAAAAATGTAAAACAGTTTGTTAGTGTGGTACTTCTGAACTTTGCTGCCAAAAAGAGCACACAACTGAATACGTAAATTTCTATGTTATATGCTACAATTTCGTGATTCGGTAGCCAAAACAAAGGTACTACAGAGCATAGCACATTAGATTTTCGCTAAATTCAGTCTCATACTAAGCAATTTAGACTCAAGCTGCGCTTAAAACACAGATTGTGTCTCTACAATCTTGTAATGTCTAAAGAAGAGCACATAGAAAGATAAATAAAATGGAGGCTAGTCCTCTCAGGGGAATGTCACACCTGTACCCAACAGGGTTGCCATTAACCCAAGCAAAGAAAGCGGAGTCTACAGCTTCAAAGTGAAGAAGTATTCTTCTGTCTGCCAAAAACACAAAACCTTTTATTTCAGAAATACAAACAAATGAAAATGAGAAAATAAAGATCATTCAAAGATATGGAAGAGAATTGTATTTTCCTTTCGTTAGATATATTCACATACCTTTCCACTCTTTGGGAATCTGGAAGTAGGTCCTGTAACAACCAGTAGGGTTCTCTTCAGGAACACGAGGAGGATCATTCGGGAAAGGGTACACAATATTCGTATAAATAGGTCGATCAAACCCATGACACTGCCAATTAGAAGGAACTGTGAAAAAAACAAGGAAGCAGTTCAAAACATGCTAGAGACAAGAAGATAATCAACAACAGAACCAACTCTCTCTCAGGTTTTATATTGAAAAAAATAAACTGACCAGGTAAAGCTTTCCAATCTGAATCAGGAAACGCCGCATCATAAAACTTCTCTGGGACATTTGCAGGACTAGAAGCCAAGAAAAACTTCCAGTAACCAGATAAAGACTTAACAAAGGGTAACCCATCGACCCAAAAAGCAGCACTATCAAGAGAAGCTTGAACAGCATCATCGTTCCAAACAGCAGATTTTGATACAGTGAGATCCACGTTATTTCTCTGATACCAGTACCTCAAAGATCCTATATACAATCATATCAAAAATTTAAACGCCATTATACTAAGTGCTCTCTTTAAAACCATAACTCTACACGAACATGTGTCAGAGATTAACTGCAGCAATACAGTAATTAAAGCTCCCAACTTTAATTATACAGTAACTAAAAGGTTCTAACTTTTAGCTATACAGTAACTAAAGGTCCTAACTTTATCGATCATCAGGCGTATTGAAACGAGTTAGGAAGATAAAAATTGATTCTTTCCGCAATTGAGATTCTTTTTTTTAGATGGAAAGGATGGGTTTTTGAGGGCTTAGGGTGATTAGTTTACCTTCGATGGAATCATGGCAACGCAAGGTGACATGAGGGTCTCTCTTGCGCCACTTGAAAAGGGTCTGATCCTCCCAAGCTCTGTACCCATTCTCCGAGGGAAGAATCATTTTTGTCGCTAGAGAAGCCATGAAGACGGCGCCTTACTTAACTCGCTGTGAAAACAGAGGAGAAATGAAGATTTTGTGGAAGGATCAAAGTTGATCCATTTGGAGAAGATGATGGTGGAATATCCTTATGTCACAAAACGACAAATGTAAAACACGTGGCATCGTGTACGCATGATTTAACGTTAGATCAAAACTCAATTTTTTTCTTTTTTAACACTGGATAATTATACGATTCAACAGCCGACAATTCTATACCTATTTTATAAGGATACACGCACGCCTGACTGCATCACCTGAGCCGCCCTATCGGATCCACGCTTGACAGTACTCCTTGTGTCATGCTGCAGATCTCTTGTAAGTCTTTCTTCATTAATTCGTATAATTCCGTCTTCTCTGGGATTCGTGTAGAAGTATTAATGAATGGTGATATGATTTAGGATGTATTTGCTTTTAAATTGAAAAAACAGATGATTTCTATAAGTTTCTGATTATTTAACCAAAAGGTTTATTCTCAATGCCTAACATAAATTTTAGTCCAAAAAAGCCTACAACATAAATTACGGCAAAAGCATTTACAAAATGCGTAACATAGGATTTAGACAGTGAAGTCATTATGTGTTGCCCTCTGATCGGACAAAGCTAAGATGAGACAAGTAATTGCTTTCTGCCAAATCATGTAGCGTGCGCCTGCTGCTGCTTCTTGTTGTTGTCTCCTTCTCCACTTTCATGTAATCCCCATACAATAATCTATCACTCTTTTCAGCATCCTGCTTAAACACAGCAGCACACATGGGGTAGTTAGTGGTCAGGTGATACACACATTCATTATATCTTATATTCATCCGACCTTCACCAAAAGCATATGTTCAAGTTTTTTGGTCTGATGAGTACATATGAAAGAAGGAACTGTACCTCTAGGAATCTCATCATTTGCTCTTCAATTGTGCCACGCATGGTTAACGTTTCTACATAAATAGGGCGTTTTGCGCCCATACGGTGAGCACGACTGATAACTTGCTCTTCCATGCTGCTCAAACAATATTTAAGAGTCAGAAACACCGCAGAAAATGGAAAAACCCATTGACTATAGACATTGAATTGTATAAATGGCATTGCAGTCAAGAACCATACGGTCAACCACGCAACTTTTCTTGTAGTTCTTTCCCATACGAGAGAATTACATGAAAGTCCAGATGATTAACTCAAGAAACTCAAATCTACAACCTCTGTGTCTGAATAAAAAAATTGTTCAGAGTCATGTACCTTTTATCCCAGATTGGTTCCATCAGGAACACATGCGTTACAAAGCTCAAATCAAGACCTAGCGCTGAACTTCCATCCATCAAAAGTGCCATGCAATCAGCATCGTTCTGGAACATGGCTAGATTTTTCATCTGAAAAGTTGAAACCGAAAGTTGTTATCCGTCAGAGGAAAGTAAAGACAAAAGAAAACACAAGCATCAACAGACACGTACCTTTTTAGACGAATGCATTGGACTGTACATTCCAGCAAACTTTATGCCAGCGATTTCCAACTACAAAAGCATGATTTACCAATTGCTCAAAGGTTTCAAACACAACTGAAAGAAAAAATGACCTAACGAAAATAAACAGTAATTCATACCTGTTGTTCAATCACGTGAATATGCTCAAGGAATTGAGAGAAAATCAAAACTTTATCAACAAGTACCATCTGAGATCCAAAATCTTGTTTATGGAACTTTTGCCCCAAAAAGGCTTTCGAGGTACCAATGGGATTCTCTTCAAGGTTGTCACAGCTACTTTTGTTGAAAGACAAAATGCTTTTACGATTACCCTCATGTAACTTCTTCAGTCTGTCCATGAGATAACTGACTTTACTGCTAGATGTAGATTGCCAGTCAGGATTCCAATCATCCTGCATAACAAAGAGAAAGAATTTATGTATGTTCAAATCCTGCTTATAAGATGGTTTATTTATAATCATACTTACCTGATTATATGAAGGCTGTAACTCAATAAGATCCTTCGGCACAGGCCATTTAGGGTTTGGATTTTCTGGTCGAGCCAACAGAGTTTGCATCTCATATAAGTTACCACAGTTAGGAAAAGTACACCTTTCGCTATCAAGAGCAACGCAATCCAGGCATAGTAAGTGTCTACATGGAGTGATTACAGGAAGTCGACACCATTCCCCACATCTATTTATAAGATTGAGAAACAAAAGCAAAGTCAGATACTACTGTCAAATGCCCTAAACTAATGACAATACTGGATTTAAGACATACCTTTTACAATTACAGCCACTAATAAGACAGTTTTGAATAGAAGAATACTCCTCGGTCGAATCGTCAAGACCAGCTTCAACTAAAGCGTCCATTGTCTCTTTAATATCATGACCAGCGTCAGTCATTTTAATATGCCCAGCCACACAACAAGATAGCCTGACATTATTTATGGTAGCGTTTCGAAATTTCCACTGTTTAGAGTTAAGCAGACTTTCGACATGAGACGGGTCATTCCAATCAGCTAATAAGATATTACGCCTTACTGACTCCACTAGTTCATTGTAGCTTCTTGCATGTCTCGGGACGAAATTAATGTATGTCGACTTCTTGATACATGGAGGAATCATCCGCAGATCTTTCTTTCTAGAGCATATCATGCATCTCTGAAGCAGCTCAAGTAAACGAGCACGACCCTCCTCTATTTCTGCTTCAAATGGTCTAAGGATGCCAGCTTCCCACAACTTTAGATTGTTTCCATATACTTCCTCGTGAAGAAACATTAAAAGAGGTTGGAGATGCGAAAGCTGGCTATTTGGCGTGTTCGGGGTTGGTGTTCCGGTCAGTAACCAGCGACTACAAGCTGTCAGAGAAACAGCCATCTGAAATTTATTTGTCAAACTGAGACTAGAACCAAGAGTGTGTCCTTCATCTAGCATGACCCTCAGCCAATGCACTTGGATCAATGGGCTTTTCTTCCGAGGATTCCATTCAGCACTTAAGCGACTAAAAGTTGTGATCACAACATCATAGTCCCAAGCCAGGCTGTGCGGAGAAAGCTTCTTATTGTCAGTCCAAACGAGGATACGTAGCTGCCCAGGGCTGACATGTTTATCGATTTGTGTTTTCCAGTGATGAACCAGATTCGCAGGCACGACAACTAGAGTTGCTTTTGACAAATACAATCTAAATGCATCCAGCGGCTGACAGAGAGCAACCTTGAGGGCAGGTGAATCAAATACTAAGTTCTCAAGCAGCTTTGGATAAAACCATCTGGTGACACCCTTTTCAACTCTACTCGTTAGACCAAATGCGTGAAATAATGTCTGGTACCTACAGACATTTATTGGTGGACCTGGTAGGCCAACTGTTTCCATCAGTGAGAGCTGCTCAAGAGAGCGTTTAGCAAGCCAGATTAAGGCCTTATTTACGTATGAATTTACTGAAGACTTGTGTTTCCTAAGGACACTGGTGAAGAAAGAAATATTTTCATTTTCTTCACCAGAAGCTCCCTTAGTATAAAAGCCTTGCAAGTAATTTATTGGTTGAGATCCATCCCATAATTCTTCAGGATCCTTACAACTCTGATGTGCAGGATCAGCATTGTTGCTACAAAACCATGCAGAGCCAGTAACAGAAACACCTTCGTCTACTATTCTCCGCCACTTTGAGCAAGCATCACACTGTACCCAACCATCGCTTTCCACATCCGAACCAGTAGGACCCTTTCTCTTACAACCAGTTATCCTACCAAACTTCTTCCAACTATCATTTCTTTTAGCTTCCATCACTCCAGAGAGATCAGATGCGCCATTATATGCATGCAACAGATTTTTTCTGACATCACCCAGGCTCTTTCTACGTTGATCTTCTAAATCCAGGATAGTTCCGTATTCGTTTTCAAAGTTTGCGTTCTTAGACTCAGAAGTTTGACCATCTGAACGCGCCAGCCTAGCTTGCTTAAGTGGCAAAGATTTCGAGTCAAGCCATGGACGAAAGGCTTCCAAAGAAAGCCGGTTTCGAAAGCTACTTGGACTTAGAAACCTCTTTACTGTTAACAGGCCGGTAGAAGTGATCTGGTCACTCGTTAACTCATAATAACCACACCTTGTGTCACTTTTATGTGTACACCAAATCACAGGAAGTCCCTCAGGTGGATCAGCCATTGTTCCCTGCGTCTTTAGAATAAGTGACAATGCTGTTATCGTCTTACCTAAACCTGGTTCATCGCAGAACATTCCCCCACGAAAATCCTTGACCATGGGGACTGTCTCAGTAGTTATACCACCAGACAAAACATTTATGTAAAAACTGAACCCATCCTCAGTACTGAATTCCAAGTATAGGGGATGTGAGAAAACCTCAGATTTCCTCTCACGCTCCAACATCCAACCAACTGCTGCCTGCTGATGAGGAAAAAGTTTAAGATTCATGCATGGCACAATTAGAAAGGCCAGTGATCTAAAGAGACGGCAGACTCTTGCAATGCTGACAAGATCTTTCGGGTTAATCTTCATCAGAATGCTAGTCAAAACGTCATCTGGGAGATCCCAAATGCCAGATGCACAAGAGTCAGTGGATGGTGTTACTCTATAAGAATCAAAGACACCAATATTTCCTGGACTGGGCAAGCTCTGAAAGATTTCATGTAGCTTAAATAATCTTCTTCCTGGAGAATCTGGGGCATTACAGTGTAATTTGCAATCAAACACATGGCAGTCAGATAGATCCCAGATGGCCTTTATTCTTCCATTGACCTCTTCCCAAATACTTTCCCCGCTAAGAATTGAGCTTCTCAGTCCCCAGTCACAGCTGCAGAAAACAGGAAGGTATTAAAAGCATGCGAGAAAAGTATCTTCTCACACCCATTCACAAAAGACATTCGCATTCATAAAAGCATTAGATACATTCCCAAAGAGACATAAGAAAAGGAAAACTAATACTCCATCCACAGATATTCCACTGTGATATATAAAAAATCTGTAGGAGACGAAAAGAAGTCACAGTATATAACTTTTGAGTCCAATTGAGATCGTCTCAAAACATTGCCTAAACAGAAAAGGAAGACAAATAGTGGAAGTTTCTATAGATAGCAATCGCCAACAAGTAACAAGAAACCAGTAGTGCGTATGAAAACCGTGAACCCTAATCAACATAGCCAACAGTAGATTTCAAAAGCGAAGACACGTGAGGCACACATCACTATCACACACAATATGTTTGATCATTCTGAACTTATTCGCTCTAAACCTTTACAAGCACGGTTAAGAAACTGTCCTAAGTTACAGAGGGTGGGACTAAGTTCCAATCAAGATCGTCTCAGAAAATTTCCTAAACATAAAAGGAAGACAGATATGAAAAGTATCTATAGAGATTGATCGGCAACAAGTAACAAGAAACCAGTATTGCATATGCAGAACGTGAACTTTAATCAACATAGCTAACATTAGATTTCAAAAGCAAAACGCGTAAGGCACACACCTCTGTTTAAGCATTCAACACTTACTCGTCCTAAACCTACACAGCCACGGTTAAGATACTATCCTAAGCTATATAAGGTGGGATTATGTTACCTCAGGTGCTTAAACAAGGCAGCAGCAGTAGCCTGACACTTAGGAAACTGCCATCCAGACCACAATGCAACAGGTATATAAACATCCACCAACACCACAGCTCTCTCTTCTCCACTCTCACACTTATCAACCTTCACCACACGACACACAATCTTCAAATACTTATTCGCAACCAAAGCGTGTAGCTGCTGCACTACACTTATGCTCCCATTCACCATACCTAGACTCTTCACCATACTCCTCCCCCGTCCGTTGCTCTTCTCCGGCGAATAGCCTTTGCCTCCGGAGGAAGCTCGTCTCTTCGATTTCTGAGACTTACGGCGTTTCGGAGCACTCTCCTCAAATCCAGAGTCTTCCATTGTTCCACAATCCTCAACATCCTGATGATGTCCTTCGATTTCGGGAATTAGGGATTTGGGATTGGAGGTGGAATTGATTAGGGATAAGATCAAGCCGTTATCGGATTTGAAACCATCGTTGGAGATGGAACAAGAGGATCCTAATGATAGTTCATGCGGAAGGGAAGGCGTATCGACGGAAACAACGGCGCGGAGGAAACCACAGAGTTTGTGATTGGAATCTATGGAATTAGCCATTGGTAGAATCAAAATCGAATCGATTTAGGGTTTGTTAAAAAAATCTCATCTTTCCGTTTCTCCTAAACGCAGAAAAAAAAATCTATAAATATATTACGGGCGAAAACCTTATATCTAGTTCTCTCTCATCCACGTCATCAAGTACGCCTCGGTGGCAAATCAGACAGATCCACGTGTATCTATTATGCTATTAATATAGCATAATAGATTTACAACAAACATTCATTAATATAGGAATTGTTATTTTTTTCTAAAACAAAAAAAGAATATAATATTAACCAAGATTTTCTAGCAGAAATTTTATTTAAATATAACCAAACTTTTAATTTAATTCAGCTACAAAAGTCTCAACTTTTCTAAACATATCATCAAAAAAATAACTTTACAAAATTGATTTTAAATCTTTACACAAAAATTGTAACATTTCTTCTAAAAATAACTTTATATAATCTATTATATTAAAAGAGAAGTCACAACTTCTCTTCATGTGTTATATTTTTAAAAATGGACCATTCCTAGAAAGTAATAATTCATATATATCTTAATAACATTTTATTTGACTTAGTTACAATATCTTTTGATATCTTTCTTCTATTTGAAATAAAATAAATATTTTAAAAAGAATTCTAACAAAATCTTTTAGAATCTTTTATAAACATTAAACATATGAATAATAATATATACCAATAATGATGTAAATAAATATATATATATATATATATACATATTTATAAACGAAATTAAACACCCGCTCGGTTGAGCGGGTCAAAATCTAGTTGATTTTAATACAAAAATTGTATGAAAAGTTCTGTTCTTTGGAATTGCCATAGGCGATTTCTTGTTAACCAGTAACGTTTTTTTTAAATTATGACAGATTTTCAAAGCAAATACATATGAGAATAGCTCTCCACGCTTTCACTTATTTGAGATTTGAGATCCAAGTGATAAAGGCAAACGAGACATGGGTCTAAAACCTCACATAAATCACACAAAACTCAGTATCAGAACACAACAAACTCAACCACCTCACAGACTTGAACCTACTACTACTGAGAGCATTTCTCCAAGTATGCTTTCCAGCCTTCATCTCGATACTCCTGAGCCGTCTTTGCTGGGTTCTCCGCCTTTATGATTCCCCTTCCCACGATTATAATGTCACTTCCCCTCTCAGTAATCACCTGAAACAAGAAACAAAAAAGAACATCAAACTTTATGTCACCAGTTCAGACACTAACTATGAATGTAAAGGTTTGGGGAGAGAGGACTCACAGAGCGTGGAGTGTTATACTGTTGACCAAGTGCATCACCACCTTTCACCATTTGAACACCAGGAGTTGCATGGATCATAGACGGATTCACATTTCCGCATTTCCAAGACGCTGGATTGACCGAGATGAACCCCATCACGAAATCTGAGTGAGTCTCGGCGATTTTCACTGCTGCTGCAGTGTAGTCTCCTGTGGCTAGGTTACCAGCAGAGCTCATCTCAGCTAGCAAAAGAAGACCCTTACCACGAGGCAAACCCTGAAAAATCGTGTATGTTAGTATCAATGAATAATCCAGTAAAGGTAAATACAAATATACCTTCAACTTGAGGCCATCCACGATTCCTGGCCCTGATATTATGTGAGCGTTTATAATATCAGCCCACTCTAATATCTTAAACACACCTCTGCAAAACAAACCAACACAGATACACTTTATGAACACTTAAAAAAAGACATCAATGTAAGAACAATCGGTGAGATGATAACTGTATAAGAACTTACCCTTCATACTGCATTGTGACCGTGTTACCAATGTCTGCAAACTTGCGATCCTCAAATATGAGAAAATTGTGCTTGTCTGCTATCTGAACAATGGATCAATAAGTATCATAAAAAAGGTTTAAACCTCACAAACCGGTTAATCAAGAACACACAAATAGTAAAAAAAGAAAAAGACTTGCTCAGTAAGATTCATGTTATCTCCTAGAGTTTTTGTGACAAAATAGGTTTGCAAAGATGTAAGTAACATTACCGCACGGAGTTTAGATCCAAAGTCAGATGTGAAATCAGGTAGAATATCAACATGAGTCTTTAACATACATATCTCTGGTCCCACCTTCATGAACACAAAAAAGTCTTAAAACTTTAAATACAAACTCTAAGCAAACAGAGTCAAAAACTGAATGATTCTTCACCTTATCAGCAATGTCAAGCAACTCAGAAGCAGTACCAACATCAGCAGCTAAACAAAGATTAGTTCTTTTCTCCATCATAACCTCAAACAACTTCTTCCCCATCACATTCTTACACATCCCCAACCTCTCCTCAAACCCTAAAGCCTTAACTTTCTCCACACTACTAGGAACCCTAACCCTACGATTCTCTTCAAGAAACTTGAGTAAGTTAACTTCCACCTCCTCTTCAACCTTCCCCTTCTCCTTCAAAACCCTAACCATATCAGTCAACCTAATCATGGAATGCAACCTAATCCCATTCTCCTCCAAATTCTCCCTCCCACCCTGCTCCCTATCAATCAACACCACCGCATCACTAACCCTAAGCCCAACCCCTCTCAAAGGCCCCGCCGTCTCCAGCACCGACCCTCCGCTCGTCACCAAATCCTCTATCACGAGGCAAGTCTGATCCTTCTCGAAGACTCCTTCGATGGCCTTGGAGGTGCCGTAGTCTTTGATCTCCTTGCGGCGCATGAGCATGGGGACTGAGTTGGTGACGGAGACGACGGTGGCGATGGGGAGGGCGGTGTAAGGGACGCCGCAGACGAGGTCGTAGTGGGTGGAGGGAGGGAGGGAGGAGATTAGGGTTTGGGAGATTAGGGTGAGGAGGGAAGGGTGGGAGACGATGAGGCGGAGGTCGATGTAGACTGGGGAGAGGATTCCGGATTTGAGTTTGAAGGAGCCGAATTTCACGGCGCCGATCTCGTGGAGTTTGAGGATTAGTGATTCCATGGAGGGTGATACTGATGATGATGATGACATTGTGGTTTTTGGAGGGGTTTGAGGTTTTGAGAGGAGGGACTTGGCAGTGACTGCGAAATGCAGAGACTGTGGGGTTTTAAATAGAGTTTTTTTTTTGGTCAAAAGGTATTGTTTTTATTTTTGGTTTCACTCTTAGTACTTTAATTTGTTTAAATTAAAATACTTTACAATTATCAAATCTATGGATTTTAATTTTATTGTATTAGATACTTTTTAAAAATCTGTATTAAATAATTTAATACTTCGGTAAAAAACTGAAATTTAAATAAAATATACTAGATCATGATAAAATGATCTCAAATGACTTTTTTCATTAATTTCATAAATTTTTAAGTTTTTTTAAATGATACTAAAAATATAAAACAAATTTGATGAAGAATGGATGAAAAAAATCTATTTTATTTCTTTTTTTTCTAACGAAATCTATTTTCTTTCTATACTATATTTATTATTAGAGAAATTCCTTTGTATAGTTTTTTTAGTTTATTTTAACAAAAATAGCTTTTAAGAAAGAAAATGATTAAAATAACTTTTTGTTAAAGGTTAAATATGCACTTATACACTTAAATTAACTAATCAAAAATTAAAATTTAGAATTAAAAAAGGAAGTTTTGGGTTTAGGGTTTCAAATTTTAAAAGATAAAAAATAAAAAGATTATTTTAGTATTTTATTTTTTGAAAACTTTTTTTTTGTGGCAAAACTTTTAAAATGATTTGAAAAAAGTGTCTTATATAATCTTACTTATCTTTCTTTTTACTATTTACGTCTATATATATAAACATTTCTAATATTAAACCAAAAATGTAAATATATTTCCAATAAATAAACTTTATAATACAGAAAAAAATTCAATAATTGTCAACATACTCAGTTATTTTTTTTTAAAAAAAAATAGAGAATTCATAGACATATTTGAAAAAGTTGAAGAACCTTTTTTTTGAATCCGGTTCTCCTCCACTTTCACATAAAATGGTTAATTAAAAACAACTTTATTCTTCCTTGACCGAAAAACAACTTTATTGTTAACAAAATCATAAACAAAGACCAAGAGACATGTTCTGTCTTAAAGGAGATACATAAAGATAAAAAGTACACAGTGAGATGGTGCATATAATGATGACCAATAACACCAACCAACCCCACAGATTACAAAATGTCACAGGTTGAAAGAAAAGGAATACTAAAATCTAACATACAACAAAGAGCCACTTTCACTCATGATCTACATCAAACCAGAAATAGAGGTACGCCTTGGAATACATGACTCTAACGCGCTGCAGAACCAAGTCTCCACTTGTGGAAACAGCCTTTGCACCTCCCTCGATTCTTGTCTGCAGAACACAAACACTGTTGCCTTTAATCCTTTCAACAACAGTATCCTTCACTTCCACATGGCTCAAGATATTTTCTTCTTCTTCATCTCCAGCAGTGCTGACGATTGGGCATGAGAGATGATCCAAAGGGTTTGTTTCACATTGAAGCACACATCCATCAATGGTTACCCTTCCACTCCTGTGAAGCAAACAGCAACCAAGCTCGGCTTTCACTGTTAAGTTTGCAAGCTTGCAGGTTGATAGCAGTTCCAGGGCACTGCACAAGAAACCCAACAACAAAAAACCGTATACCAAGGAACTTTTGTTGCAATAAATTAAAAAAACACTAGCATGGCGACACAGAACAGGTCCAAAAGGATGTCGTATAAGCAACAACTAAAAGAAAAAAACTGCAGAACTGAAAAAAATGACTATTAAGAGGGGAATATGTGCTCCATACCTGTCTGAACCTCGAGAACACACGAGGGTGGTTTCATCAGGAGTCTCGCCTCCACCAATCTAAACAAAGCAAAGATGATATGAAACTGACGTATTATTGATTCATTGAGCACTGGGACTTGTGCCTTAGCATCATAGCACCCGTTCCTCAGCAGAGAGGGTTAAATACTATTTCAGCCTCAAGACACAGAGCCTTCCACTTAACTACATCTAGAGAGGGCATCGATAAGGTAGCCCCTAAAACACTTAACTACTATTTTAAAGGTGCGTTCATCGGCACAGTATTAAAATGACTATCGACCATATTCTGCATCTCCATCTATGTCATCACAGCTTACTAACCAATATGAAAAAATGAGGATTACTAAGACGCAAGCAGAGGAGAATCCCATCACAGCTTACTAACCAATATAAAAAAATGAGGATTACTAAGATGCAAGCAGAGGAGAATCCCATAACAGTGGATGGAGACACAAATGGATCCCAAAATCTAGTCAGACTTTGAAGTTAAATTAAATTATTTCTTTGGGTCCTCACCATGGTCCATGAATTATGAAAAAAATGAGGATTACTAACATGCAAGCAGAGGAGAATCCCATAACAGTGGATGGAGACACAAATGAATCCCAAAATCTAGTCAGACTTTGAAGTTAAAACTAAATTATTTCTTTGGGTCCTCACCACGGTCCATAAATTTTAGTTCTAAGTTTTTAATTTTTTTTTAACATTAGTTACTATAAAAGTTAACTGGAGAAGAACAAGCACTGAAAAGAGTTTATACCTCAGGCATAGTTTCCACGTTCCAGTAGTGGGATTTAAAGTTATTGTATGGCAGTATAAGCTGTGTTTCAACTTTAGTCTGGATCTATTTAATGTATATTAATCTCCCATACCAAGAGCTACCGCATGGAATGGATCTCCATCCTCTCATCATAGTAGATAGGTAGCTATTCGTTCACATGTTTTTGGATATTAAAGATTGGTTAATTTGGTTTACATACTTAGATGGAGCTAGATAAACTACTTTTTGCGATTATGTTGACGATGTAAGACATATCAGATTTTTTTTCTGGCATGGAAGAAACGTCTGAATATACAAGTTCACTTTGATACTCCTAGAGAAAGCTTTTACAAAAAGACTTCTATCATCGTAATGCAAAAAGTTCCATGAAACATCAAGCAGTTGGACTAGACATACCAGGCAAAGAGGCTTTTTAATCTGAATATTAGAAACGAGATGATTCCCACCAGCTCCTATCAAAATGGTATCACCAGGTCTATAGGTGATAACTTTGTCAGGTACTTTTTTCTACCACTACCAAAGAAGGATACATCATAAAAGATTATATTCACAAACCTCGCTGCAGATACGGCAGACTCAATGTCCTGGAAAACTCCAGGCTGGGAATAATCCTTCAAAAAACGGTCAACGCGTAGCCACAAGCGAGGATGACACGCCAGGTATCTCCATCTGTGGCAAACGAGTGCTGTGTTATACCTATCTGCAAACTCATACGATACACACAAAAAGAAAGCACTGAAACAGACTGTAATGCACAACAACAAAAATGCCAAGTCTCATTTTTACCAAGTTTCCACATAACACATATAGATAAACACAAACACATACAAATTCAATACAAAAATGCTGTCTTGCTAGTATTATTACATTGATAAAAAGCTTGTATTAAATATCAAACACACACCAAGCCTCATTCATTATAGAAAAGTGGTGAGAGTAATACATGAATATAAACCAATTGCGATTGGATTACGATCTGAGGAGTCTAAAGGTTGCAACTTTGAATCTAAAAGTCAATTTTTTTTTTAGTTACAGAACCGTAATTGAGGTCTAATTGGGGGAGAGAAACTACCAGCAACCATCAACAATGAAAACCCATCAAGAGAACAAATTGAACAGAGAAACACATAAAAGGAACCAACTTTACCTGGAATTGGAGATAGGAAGCTGAGGATATGCATGAGGCAACCATCATCAAGATTGTTAAGAGATGTAAGAGATTCAGGTTTCATTCTCTTCTTCTTCATCCTCGGTTCGGCATGTCTTCTGTTGTCAAGCTTAGGAATCTCCATGGAAGCATGAACCCTAAAGTCCTCGCCGTCGTTCATTATCAGCCGACTCAATATGATCCTTTGATCAGTTTCAAAAAAAAAAAAAAATGATCCTTTGACATTACATCGACATGTTAAAGCGGTTTGATCTTTAATCTTTAGTTAATTAATTTGGTTCCATCTTAGGACAGCGACTAAAAGCATCCTCACCGTTGGTTGTTTTTAAGTAGTGGACTGTCCAGATTTCTCATATAAACCCAAAACCATATCTAAACCGAACCGAATGCGTACCAAAATATAATATAACCAAAAAAGCAAAATATCCAAATACTTTTTTAATCTAAAATATTTAATTTATCTGGATTACCCCATATCTATTCTATTAAATTAGAAACATGATCAGTTGAGATATGTGTTTCAAAAAAAAAAAAAAAAAAAAAAAAAAATCAGTTGAGATATATTTGGTCTAAATTAAAATATAACTGTATCTATAATATAAACTGCACAACATAAAATATAACTGAATCCTTATACTACAATTACGTAAATATAACAGAATCTAGTTTTATCTTAAAAATTATTTTCTTTTCTGAAATTATCCAAACCAATTTATAAACCAAAACGAAAAATCTACGGTTTTCAAATTTCTAAAACCCAAAACTGAAAAAAAAATCAAACCTGAACCGGTTCTTAAAATATCCGAACCGAATTATAAACCGAAAAACGAAAAAGAAATCTACGGTTTTCAAATTATAAAACCAAAAACTGAAAAAAAAAAAGAAAATCAAACCTGAACCGGACCAGTCCTAAATAAAACAATCAGAACGGAGCTTAAAATGGCTTAAAAGCAAACCTTTTCTTCTTCTCTCAACTGCCAAAATTCAATCGGAGAAAGAAAACTTACTGAAAAAAATGGAAGAGGTAATGGCGTGGTCCACTGAGAATGGTGTCTCGACTTTCGACGATGGGGCACACAGCCACTGCATCGCGAAGACGGTGGACACAGGTGGAGTCGAGAGCAAGAGGCTTTACTTGGCTCGCACGACAGCTCTGGAGATGCTCCGTGACAGAGGCTACCAAGTTACAGACACCGAGCTCTCCCTCTCTCTCTCGGAGTTTCGTTCTGGGTTTGGTGAGAAGCCAGACCTTGAACGTCTCCGTATCTCCGTGCCTCTCAGCTCAAACCCAGTGAAAAAGGTTTGAGCTTTTTCCTCTTTTCACCTCTGTTTTTTCGATTTGGGTGTTTGATTTCTGAGACTGAAAGAGATGAAAACATGATAAAGGCATCGACTTTTTTTTTTATTATGGGTTTAGGGTTTGCCTTCAAACACAAGAAAGTTTGAGAAAGGCGTCGACTTTTTTCGATCTAGAGTTTAATTTTGGTTTGTGTTTGACTTCAAACACAGGAAAGTTTGAGAAAGGCGATGACTTTTTTCTATTTAGGGTCTTACATTTGTGTTGGGTTTGCCTTCAGACACAGGAAAGGTGAAGACTTTCTATATTTAGGGTTTTACATTTGGTTTGTGTTTTGTCTTCAAACACTTCAAACACAGGAAAGGTGGAGACTTTTCGATTTAGAGTTTTGCATTTGGTTTGGGTTTGTCGTTAAACAGAGGAAATTGCAAAAAGGTTTAGACTTTTTGGTTCCATTGCATTTTTAAATGACTAGTGATAAGTATAGGGGTTGATAAGAGATCATGGTGAAACTGGAGTTGGGTTTCTTTTTCTTTCCATTTATTTATGGTTTGCGTTACCTCTTGTTCTGCTCAGTGTAGATGTTTGTCTTGTGTCTGTATCCAACACAGGCTGAGATAAGAAATGTTATTTTGTTGAAGCATCTAGTTGAGATGAGAAATGTCAACACACTGTTTTCTCATGCTTTACATCAAGCTTATCTCTTAGTTTTGATACCGAATTGTTTTTTTCTTTAATGCAGATACTTGTTGTGTTCATGGGTTCTGAACCAGTCACTGTGAAGACTGTCCGTGCTATTCACATTCAGATCTCCGGCACTGTTGGTTTGCATGGGCTGATACTCGTTTTACAGAGCAAAATTAACCATTTTGCTCAGAAGGAGTTGGCAACCTTTCCTTGTCCTGTTGAAACTTTCCCGGTAAGCCGTTCTCCCTTTTGCTACATGATGAAATTTCTATATATAAGTGTGAGTTACATAATTAAGTATTTGTATGTGTCAGCAGATAGGAGATTTGTTGGTGAACATCACAAAGCACAGTGGACAGCCAAAGATTGAGATTTTAACCAAAGAGGAGAAAGAAAAGTTGATGAGTGCGCATGGGCTTGAGGACAAACAGGTTTGGCTCGGTTCTGCAGATAGCTTCTCACCTTTTGTATTCTATGTTTTAGTGGATTTTTTCTGTTCTCTCTTTTTGTTTTCAGGTTCCCATGTTGAAGGAGAAGGACAGTTTCGTGAGGTACCATGGGTTAAAGAAGGGTCAGGTAGTGAAGATTACATACAGTAAAGAGCCTGTTGGGTCTTTCGCCACATACCGATGCATCGTCTGAAGAGCAGGCGAATTCATTGCAAAGCGAGACATATTATTATCTGTTGAAAATAGACTGTTTCTTAAGACCATAGTACTTTAGTTTCAACTGTAATAAGAGCTTGAACTTGGTTTCAAAGTAGGAAAAACTAGAGCAAAAACAAACAAAAAAAATTCGAAATGTAGTGAGGTACAGGTAACAAATAGAAAAACCAAAAAAAAATTAATTACTAAGAATCTCACATGATAGGAGTTAAGAGTAAAATTGCTCAAGTGATGCAGAGAAACTCGACTCTGCAACTCTATCAATGTATATAAATGGCATGTAACGCAATACATAGTAAGGAATAGTTTTACTATTCTAAATTTCACAACTTTCTTTTGTTTCCTTGGGACGTTTCAACAAGCCTCTCACCAACAGTACTATTGGATACAGAGTTGGGTGCATTCCCTAAAGCAAGTGTCTATCTTCCTCTTTTGATTTCTGCGGTGTGCTGGATTTAGAAAAGTTCCCTTTTTCAGCAGTTCACATCTTTGAAGAAGCAGGTGAGTTTGCTACTTCCATATGCTTTATTGCCAACATATCAAAAGGCCTATGAATGAAAAATGAGCCACAGTTCTGTCTGTGGGATTGGTCACTGTTTCTGTGTCTAGCATCCTAGCATATCTGTAAGAACAAAAAAACAAGATCTAGCTATTGAAACCACATACTGATTAAAAGTTTATCTAAAACGCAGGCCCCTAACAAAGAATTATGACAGCACCTAAAAGACTGTTAACGCATATGCTTGCAGGATCCAGATTGTCCTTGCTGCGTAAAACTGGTTCATTCAGAACAAAGAACGTATGATAATACAGATAAATCACTTCTGTTTCCGTATGCAGAACCTCCTATCTCACACTCCATCAATCTTAGTTATTCACTGAGATATGAACTTGGTATTGTATATAAAAGGTTTTACCCACATTCACAAAACTGTATGTGGCTTACACGATCTAAATTGCATAACTTTGCTTACCTATATCTGGATTTTTCTTCATGAATAACTTGCTGGTCAATCCTGGCTAGTCTTATTACAGTGTCCTGTATCACTAGTAAGATGTCTCTGACCTGCGCTATCAGCCAACCGGAACAAGCTATCCCCTATACAGGTCAATAAGGAGTATTAGTTACACATTTTCCAACATAAGTCCACCTACAAAGTACTGTAAGATTAAGGTTTTGTCTTTTCATAACATAACAAACCAACCAACCATTTGAGTGCGTTTGCTACAACACTCTGAAGCCAATAAAGAACCGAGAATTCTGATGAATTATCAACAGCAGCAGCAGCTGCCAGATTTACCTAGTTCCAAAGATGAAGTAGGATCAAAGGAAGACATTCCAGATAGCCCTTGAAGATTTTAACAACAAGCTGGAATGGACAATTATGAATACAAGACAGAGGGATTGCACAGAACAGAGAAGGGCACTTAACGTAAGAAGCAAGCAACCAGAGATACTAAGAATCAGAGCACCTCACGAGTGATTCAAAAACCTGATCTTTACTCATACACAGAACTCAATACATAGAAAAGATTGACATTTACGTCGAAGACAGAGAGCTTGCCTACACATACAAAGAGAAGAAACAAACAACCAGAAAAATGCAGCGTTACTCATAATATAATTCCACAAAATAATCGATGTGAAGATTGAGACTTTACCTCTTCGTCGTCCATTTCAAACATGACTCGAGAAGAAGAATCAAATTACTGTCCCAAAATCACGCTCCCTGATTGCTTCACACATCACCAACTCCACCACGAACAAACAAAAAAACCCAAGAAAAAAGATTAACAAAACGTAACCCTCAAATTACTACGTCAGACGAGTAGCCGTTTCTAAACTTGAGGATGAGAGAGAAAGAGAGAGTCACAGCAAATAACTACGAGTCGCACCTCTTATTTTGACTTTCACTTACTCAAGTCTGCCTTTTTTAAACAAAACATTATTTTTAGTGTTCAAAGAAAAGAATGACTAGCTAGCAGAATGGATCATTTTTTATATAAAATGTTAAGCTAAGAATATACAGTATCATCTTATTTGTTCTCGTTTCACATTTATCTTTGAAGTTTTACACATTGTAACTCATTTTCTTTTCATATACAGATGCTTGTTATGCACGGGAGTTTATCTATAAACTAGATCAGCTTTTGATTGGCCTAAAAGCTCTGTCTCAGCTCCTTCACAGCCATAACTTGATAAGATTTCATCTCAAATTGTATTCATTGAATATGTTCAAACTGAAGATTTGTTGACTTTCTAATGATGTACTTTGTCATAAATCATGTTTCAGAAGTAAACCACAATAGAGTTTGTTTGAAAAAGTTAAATAAAAGAAAACACATCATCATATGAAGGTACACAAATTATTAATCAACATTCCAAAGAAACAGAAACAGGTTGCATACATGTTATATCAAGAAAAAAACAGATATGAAAGTAAATAAAACTCGGTAGCTTATTGAAAACCTGCATTTACTAGATTTTAGTAATATGAAGGTGGTGGTGGAGATTTGTACTCAACTTTTGGAGAAGGAGAGTAATAAGGTGGTGGTGGTGGAGAGCTGTAGACATATGGTGGTGGAGGAGACTTGTAGTCTACCTTAGGAGATGGTGAGTANATGGTGAGTAATATGGTGGTGGTGGAGAGCTGTAGACATATGGTGGTGGAGGAGACTTGTAATCAACCTTAGGGGAAGGTGTGTAGTATGGTGGTGGTGGAGAACTGTAGACATATGGTGGTGGAGGAGACTTGTAGTCTACCTTAGGAGATGGTGAGTAGTATGGTGGTGGTGGAGAACTGTAGACATATGGTGGTGGAGGAGACTTGTAATCTACCTTAGGAGATGGTGAGTAGTATGGTGGTGGTGGAGAACTGTAGACATATGGTGGTGGAGGAGACTTGTAGTATACTTTAGGAGAAGGTGAGTAGTATGGTGGTGGTGGAGAACTGTAAACGTATGGTGGTGGTGGAGATTTATAGTCTACTTTAGGAGCTGGTGAGTAGTATGGTGGTGGTGGAGAACTGTAAACGTATGGTGGTGGTGGAGATTTGTACTCTACTTTAGGAGCTGGTGAGTAGTATGGTGGTGGTGGTGGGGAGTTGTAAACATATGGTGGTGGAGGTGATTTGTAGTATACCTTAGGAGAGGGTGAATAATATGGTGGTGGTGGAGAGCTGTAGACATATGGTGGTGGAGGGGACTTGTAGTGTACTTTAGGGGATGGGGAGTAGTAAGGTGGTGATGGAGAACTGTAGACATATGGTGGTGGAGGTGATTTGTATACGGGTTTTGGTGAATGAACATAACATGGAGGAGGTGGTGGACAAACACATACGTGTGGGTGTGGTGGTGACTTGTAATGAACTTTAGGGGATGGTGAGTAGTATGGTGGTGGTGGAGAACTATAGACATATGGTGGAGGTGGAGACTTGTAGTGTACCTTAGGAGAAGGTGAGTAGTATGGTGGTGGTGGGGAACTGTAAACATATGGTGGTGGAGGAGATTTGTAGTATACTTTAGGAGAAGGTGAGTAGTATGGTGGGGGAGGAGAACTGTAGACATA